TGTGTTTACCTTTTGTCCAAACTCTGTGTGTACGGCTAATTAATACTTTAGTACCTACCGAAAATAATTAGCGATAAAAATAAAGGAACGTTTAGTAATTAATTGGAAACAGAAATAGAGCTCGGATTACAATAAAAGCATCAAATGAGTGAAACTGATCACAAATAATCAAAAACATTTGCAGCTCTACATCTAAAACATCCTAATTAAACTTGTCTAAATATTTTTTTTGTTTTGTTTAAGAATTAATTTAAAAATGTGTGTCTATTTTAACAAAAATCCATTAACATCTTCAATTTAGCGAGAAGTTTTTAAGTTGAGCTTGTTTTACGTGTTGTAACACTAGAGGTTGTAACAATAACATACCTACGCTGCTAGAACAACATAGTTTCATCGATGAAACATATTCAAAGCTAATATCTCCCAGGTCAAGGTTAAAATGTAGATGTTACATTTAGTGGAAAATTTAATAATGCTGGAACTCATATGAATAAATTATGTAAATCTCTTATGCAGTTAGCTTGTGCTCCCAGATTTTCAACTAGCTTATTATATCTGTTAAAAATTTCGCAAATTTTAGTAATTTTGCTGTGTGAGTAAATTGTTTTTTAAAGGAATTAACCCGGAAAATGGACGGTCAGCGATGGGTCTAAATAAAATCCTGGCTTAAATTTTCACCGAATTATTATTTAGCAAATTTCCATATTAATAACCAGTGTTTAAAATTTAAATACGTAATTAAAGCCTCTCATTCAAACGCTCGTTTTTAACATTAAATTTATTTAGACTCTCTTCAAAATATTTCAGTGAAAAATGGCGATTCGTAGTTTAATTAAGACCTTTTATGCCGAGATTTAATTAATTTGTGTTTTACTATTTTTGCAGTATAAAAGATTCTTTGAGTTTTTGTTAGTTTTGAAATTATTTTACATATCAAGAGCTATACATACTTTATAAGCTTTTATGGCAAGTTTAGTTAATTTGATTCGGAAATTACAAACTTTATTACTGCTGCCGGAAGTGGTTAAATTCTCAACGGAACCCGTGGATAATAAAAGTTTTCTCAAAGTTATATAAACACCAAAGTGACAATTATAACATAAAAAATAACAATTTATTAATAGTTTAGTTCAGTTAAAAGCTTTGTGAAGAGTTTTTATTTTGTAAAATCGATTTGTTTATGCACATTTCACTTTGCAAACTTTGGTAACAGTATTGCGTTGTGAAGTTTCAATTTTCCACAACATTATGAAGTGAACATCTGGTTGAACCTCTCTGTAGTATGGAATAATGTATATTTGAGTTTACACACAGAGAAGGTTTCGTAGAAAATGCATCAGTTTTTCACAGAAATTATTTCCAACTTAACAATTGTTAACAGAAAAACTTTTACTTGAGAGAAAATTTAATTTGGTCCGGGGTTGTTTTAGATTAAAGTCAAACAAGCACTGATTGTAAAAATCCGGTTACTAAAGTGGCGATGTCGCCAGAGTATAAAATAGAAACAAAACGAATTAGAAGGTTGACCAAATGCGTGCGACATTCCATTCATTTTAAAAAGCTAAAGTAGATTGCACCCTCTTAATTTGATCAGGACTGAAACAAACGAAATTAGCTTCAAAAAAAGCGAACAAATTATTTAGTTTTTCTAGAGTTTTCATTAAAAATAAATTATTTAATTGTGGAGACAAATGCTAGCTCTTGTACTTTTTAATAGTAGACTCGTAACACTAATTATCTTATTTAACTTAATGTAGAGGAGAAGATTCGACAATTTACTTTTCAAGAGAGTCATTCTGTATGGAACACGAGCTGTTTTTAAAACGGCCACGTCTATGTTGCGACACAATTTAATTTTACACTCGATTTAAAATTTACTTAAATACTAGAATAATAAAACCGGTTCTAATTAAACTAAAAACTTCTATTGTTGTTGCTAATAAACTTCCGAGACGTTTACATGGGACAAAAACTTGAAAATCCTCTCTGAAACTTTTGCTAGACCGCGCGCATCTTAAATCCGGAATTTTTGTTATCTTGCTACTGCAGACATATTTTATACAAGCTTGGGAATATCTTCATTTGTAACGTAAAAATTTCCACGAAACTTTATAATATCGCTTTCGAGCAATTCAGAGATCTTTGAGAAACGGCCGTAAATAAATCCCGCGTGACTTTAAAGCATTCTTAATTGTCCAGCTTTGAATAAAATCTAAAAATGTCGTTGTCAGCATAACTAAAATTCAAATAAACTCAAGCAAGTTTCTGCTTAATTGCAAGTTTAATACAAAAATTGAGTTTTCAAATCTCTAGACTATACAGAACCGTAGTCTTTTCTGTGCTAGATTTCTACAAGTTCCACCCTTCGGCCACGTTTCGCACAAAAGACGTTATAACGGAGTCTAGGGATTTCTTGGCGAGCACTCCATTATATTTTATTTGAAGTATTTCATTTCATAATCATCTTTCCGACTAATATTCATCTCGATCACGTCAGACCTATATATTTTTCTCTTAAGCAAAATTTCTGCGGTCTACAAAGAACTGGAATCGGCCATTCTGCACCAACCTTTCTCAACGTTGGCTCTTACCCCAGTCTGATGATGCATGGCAGAAGCGTTTTAAAGATAATGAAAATAAAACCAGCTAAACGCCGTCTACTTTATATAAAATTGCTCTTACACTATATTACTGCTTATCTTTATGGTCACCAAGTATGGATTTTGTCTTATATCTGAGGTGACTCGGAACTCGAAAATATGGCGAGGTCGCGTCGAACAAGTCACCCTTTTATAACAGCCCTCAGTTCTTCTGTGTAATGTACATAATTAAATAACTAAACAAACTAAGACTTCAAACTAAAAAAGCATATTTAATGTTTCGTATTTCAAAAGAAATTAACTACTGTTAGAATATTGAATCAAAAATTTAATTAAAATAAAACAAAACAAGTTTCGTTCGAAATAGAAAAGACATCTCGCGGTAAAAAAATATTGTTATTCTACTATCATAGTTGCAAGCAGTAGTTTGAATTTAAAATTCTTCTGTTATAATAACTCAGTCTTTGGTGTTTCTGAAAATATGAGAGAAAGCAAGAGAAAACTTTAGTGGTGAAACAATTGTCTCGCTGACCAAAACTTGTAATGTGTAAGCGTTTGTTTAGTGGTTCCAAACTAACTGAAACAGAAAAAACCAAGCAATAATCCTCCATCAAAATTACCTCATAAATTTGAAATGCAAAATCAGCAAATGTAGCTGCAAAGCATTGTGGGCCGGCAACCGCAGTGTTTCATAATAAATTTCTTGGAATGAAAAGCGAAACAAGAAAAAGAGCATGATTGATTCGTGCATGATTTTCTGAAAGGGTTCATATTCTGTTTTGATTATATAAATTGCTGGTTGGCAAGACCCCAATAAATTCCTCTTTGCAGCCATCAATCAATATCATTCCCAAGTACGCTTTGTTGAACGATTAAAATTCATCGGAACTGCTTTTCCTCGAACATGACAAGATACACATCGTTTAATTTATTTATAAGAGAAGCCTTGTGATGGAACGTCGGTTTTAATACCGGTAATAATGGCCATAATGGGTCATAGCTTAATTTAACCCTGGCATTAATCATCTTGGACCGTGCAAGTCGTTTCTCTAGGGATAGAACGCTCGCTGCGGGTACCCAAAAAGTGAAGCAAAAACGCGGAATGGCAGTTTGGAACGGTTTGTCGGCTCTGATTTCTCACACAAATCTCTTATGGTAATTTTTATTTCTATTTACTCGGTTTTCTTTTTACCACTTCACCGGTATGAGAAAAGACAGGTGAGGGAGACAAAACGTTACAAGCACATTGCACGCAATGTTGAATAGTATTTCAAATTTATACTTAAACATTTGTAACAAAAAAAGTCTTTCAAGTAGCACCATTTCTTTAATAAATTCCAACAAAATGCTTATGTTCTTCATAAAATGCTCGAACAGTACTACGTTCTTTATTTAACTAAAAGTAAATTCAGCAAAATAGGATATTCTAGAAAATTGAATTTTCTATCAAATAGTTATTATGTTGAAAATCACCCCGTTTAAACTTGCATGTTGTGTTGACAAAAAGTCGAGTTGAGAATATGTCTCGTGCTACGAGTAAAACTTGAGAATGTTTACTAAACTCATGTCTTACTCTAATTTAATGTTAAAATAGTCGTTTTTTAGATAATGTTTGATATTAGCTTTAAATTAAAATAAATGTCAGTAGGAAAAACCTGCACTTTCGGGAGACATTTTTCGCCCGTTTCGTTAGTGAATATTTATTTTGTAAAGCTTCAATGTTTCCCGAGGGTCTCCAAATAAGCTTTACATACTTAAAAATGTTATCTTTGGGGTCGTACTATTCCTTGTTTTTTCTCGAAATCCGATAAAAACGTTTTTCCTTTTCCAATTCTCTCAAAGGAAAGTGCATTGGCGATTCACTTTCACGTATTCATTTTCCATAAAGGAAATCCGGCCTATTCTGTGTGAAAACCCCAAATTATTCATGTGAAACTCGTCCGATTTAAATAGTTAAATTGGTGGCTTTTTCAGTTGATCGTTTTGTTTGTTTGGATAATATTGGTAATAAAGAGGATGGTGAGAAGGGAAAAATCAAATTAATAAACCGCTGAAAAGGGTTGCACGTTTATAATTATAATTTCTGGAAGCTCTGCCGATCAGTGTCGCAAATAAACCAAACCGCTTAAAATGCAGGGAAATTGATTTTTCCCTTTTCACAAATATTTTTTATTTTGCTTTTTCAATCGGAACAATTTTGTGCAAGATTTAAAGAAAACAGATAAAGCGGAAATTAATTTTTACCATTTTACCTTCACAAGAAGTTTTTCTCTGTTTTCTTTAAGATTGTTCAAATGGCTTATTTCAAAAATCTTAAAAAGTTTTAAACTTGTTGAAATTTAATCTAAAAAAATTGATATGATATTAATAATCTGTAACTGATAAGAAAACAGTTTTGTATTTTGATATAAGTTGTTTTAAAAATAATGTTTAGCAGTATCAGATTGGTGTAACAATGGGTTTCAACCGAAAACTCAAAAATGGAGGTTTGTATTACTTACTATCAACTTGTCTTTGTAATTAATGTAACAAACTTTATAGCTAAAAAACACCCAACACCAATAGAAATTGATGAAATCCTTGTCGATTTAAAAAAAGTTTTACACAGTTTGTCTACAGTTACTGTTCGTCTTGAAAAAAGTTTGAGTCTTTACAATTTAAACGAATCAGAAGAAGAGGAGGGTTTTCAAAGTGCCGAAGAAAATGTGAAAGTGAATTCTGTGTCAAAGAGAGTAAATGCCTTTCAGAAACAAAGTCAAGTAGATATCAAATCACCAATATTGAGGTCATTTCGCAGTTTAGATGAACATTCAACACCCAATGAAATCTTAGTACACTCCGAAAAAATTAACCAAATTGTTGTTAACAATAATGTTGCCAAAAATAATGTTGAACACATTAAGAAAAAAATTGAGCTTTACAGCAGTATTAGTGACAGTAGTAGTGATGAGGTAGACGCGAAACCTACTGAATTAAATAAAATAAAGGTAGATGTGCAAAGTCTAAAACAGAAGTTTGAGATTGAAAATAGACATACGCCGACCTATGTCACCAGTTCAATGATTGAGGTGAATAGGAGGAAAAGCGTGGAAGAAAAAGGGAGACAAAGTGTCAATAAAATGGATGAAAAGCGACGAAAAAGCGAAGAGAAACCTAAAAAAGAAAAAACTTTTGTTGAAGAAGATAAAGTAAAGAGGATGTTGAAGTACTTTCAACCTACATCGAAATAAAGTGGTGACAAGGAACTTAAAATCTTATTCAATTACTTATTATAATAATTGAAATAAATCATGTAATGTAGATAAGGTGTTATAAATACGAGATAACGATTTTTAGATCACTTCTTATCAGTCAAGATAAAATAAGTATTTGGAAACAGAAAATATTTTGTAGCAAAATAATTCTCAATATTAAATAAAGCAGTCTTTTATTTCTTTCTGTCGCCGTCTCTAAATTTAAATCAACTGTCGTGTTAAAGTCCCTCAAGACATTATTATTTATCTTTGGATGCGAACAAGTGGGATTAACGTATCCGGAACCGGGATCGAATTCCGGCAGAAAAGTAAAATAAAACTTTAAAAGTCATGTAATTCGCGTAAATCTGGCCATGGTGTAAGGGAAGGAAGACAGGCGGACTTACCGGGATAGAAGACGGTCTCTCGACGTACTGTATAGTTCGCCTGGGGGATGCGAAGCTCGCAAGAGAACTCCTCTGGGTCCTTAAGCGCAGGCAGCGTTGCTGTCGCCGATACTTCGTACAGCTGTCCTCTTAGGCGAGCTGTGACTTCGGTCCCTTCGATCTCCCTGCAATCATCAGGATTTGTCATGAAACCACTTAAAAGAGCTTGTTTACTCTAGTCGGTAAATTCCTATCATCAGTTTTCCCTCAACTCTGTACATTTCGTTCAAGTAATAGCCTCTCTCAGATAAAATCTGAGCTCTAAATCGTCTGAGAAGGTTCCTACCAGCCGACAGATTTATGCAGGGGCTGCAGTAAACAGAACACGTACCACTAGTTAATTGCGGAAAATAGAGGCGAGGATGGAGGATGGAATACCTTCCGCCGCAACTCTGCCACTACTCACGTGACCTACTGGCGGGGTTTTATTTACAGTTAGAACGCCGTTAAAGGAAGCTTTTAATCCCTTTCGAAACAATACGCATACTATAAGGGTATAGAGCTATTCCGAAGTCAAACCAAGAAAACTAAACAAATCGAACACTAGTTTAGTCTTACGTTTTTATTGTTCGATTTTACTCCACTATAACTTTCTATCGGGCCATAAATTGATTTTAAAGTGAACGAAATCGGTAGTGCGTAAAGTAACTCAAAATATCCGCATTTGCGTATAAAGAATAAACACCATATTTGTGAGATAAACCTTAACTTTAGTGCTATGTTAAAAAAGTAATAATTTTACAGTCATTATATTAATATGTCGATTCCTAATTGTTTAGAAGTCGAAAAATACGTGATTCTGAGCCTTGGCTGGGAGATGATTTAGAATTGATGTATGTACCATCAATGTAGGTTAATGTTACGAGCCCATCATGTGTCACAAAAACAATTTGTTTGCAAAGCAACTTTGAAGCTTAGTTAATGCATCAAGTTAGTAATAAAAAATTATGCTTTTATTATTTAAACAAAAGGTGTTTGTAAATAAAATAACGTAATACAACTCTCAATTTCATTACACATTTAAGCTCCATCTAAAGGCTGAATAAAATATTTTTCATCTCGGTTGTAATATATACCATTACTACAAGGTAAATAGACTTATAATTGAATTTTTATACTGAAAAATATACATATTATATAATTTCATCAGTGGCGCAGCCAGAGATAGACTTTCGGGAGAGTTTACCTCGGCCAACTTTGATCTCTCACATGAAAAAACCGCCATGGAAAAACAAAATTGTATTTATAACAATATTAATCACTGAAACGACTTAATAATCAAACACTACTGTCATATACTGCAGAAACGGGTTGAGTTCAGTTCAGTTCAGTTCAGTCGTGTCTAGTGGAGTTTACTTTTGAGTTAAGTTTCAGAGTCAAAGTGCGAGTTTAGTTATCAGAGTGACATGTGCTCTTATTGGAGTATTCATACCTCACAAAGGTAAGTCAACTTTCAAGTCATTTTTCAATAATCTAATATAAAACACACCCATGACTTTCAATCCCACCCCATGACATATGGTGGAGGCGTCTTAGTGGCAGCCTATGTCAGTTTATTAATCTTAAACTGTTTTTTTTAATAACAGGTGTTTTTTTTAATTTAACGTCAAAGCTATTCGTTGATTGTGAACGAACCATTGTAGTGAATGTTATTAATATCACATTTAATACCTCGCCGGGCGTGTTAAAAATTCTGATCTGTTCAAAACACACTCCTATCACTGTTAAAAAACACTACATACGTATAGTTTAAAACATTAACCATTATCAACACACTTTAGTTTTTATTTATTTCTATAATTTTTATTATTATTATTTCATTTTACTTACCTACCACCTTTTGTTTATTTATATCTATTTCACTAGTACACTTATGTACATGTTTTAAAGCTCTGGTGCTCTCATCTTTTACATGTATTTGAATTATTAGTAAATAATAATTAATAAAAAAAATCCTTTATTTTTATTACAAAACTTGCCTTTTCTTTATATTTTTTTTAACTTACCTTTTATTTTCTTATTACACTATTTAACACTTTTGTGGATACATGTTTTAAAGTTTGCGCTCTTATGAGCCCACCGTCGTTTATTAATTTATTTGAATTAGTATTAAGAAAATTAGTGAAAAATTGCTGACTTGAGCGGGGTTCGAACTCCGGAAAGGGGGACCTTATGGCGCTACAACATTTAAATATAATTTTACATTTTTACAACGTTTTTATACTTTTCTACGTTTCTTGAAACGTCAAGAAAATGGTTCAATTTTGGGTTTTTTATTTTTACGATTTTTGTAGTAATTTTAGGCGAATTTCGATACCCGGAGCGGTTTATTGGTACCAACTTCAGAATTATTGACGCTGATACCGTTTTTAACTCCCCCCTCTTCTCGCTGCGCCACTGAATTTCATATAATGTAATTTTTAATTACTTTTAAATTGGTTCGGTGTATATTTGCATTCTCAGTTTGCATATTTGAAAAACTCAGATAAATTATTAGAACTTTGAAAATAACGTAATGGAATAAATATCACGTTTCCAATTATCGCAATTTAGGTCAAAAGCGAATCAAATTTCTTGTTGTTTTTGTACCACTGAAGCTAATTTGTGGTATCTTTAGATGATTGGTTACCACTTTTACAGATTAGAAGTTTAGCACCAAACAGTGTTAAAAACGATTACGTGTTATAAATATTGAAGTGACCTGAAAACACCCAACAATTTTCCGAAAATTTATCACATGGTATTTTCTATCGATTCCTTTGTGTTTGTGCGTGTTGATCCTTTCTTTCACGCAAGCCCGCGTCGAAGATGGCTAATTGAAACGAAGCACCTGTCCACGCTAACACCTGTGTCCAAATGAATTTTCCGAGGTCCCCGAAGTGTCGTACTAAATCGTTCGAATTCCATATTTTCCAGTGCGCTATGTTTTCCGTCTCAGAGACGTAGAGATTCTTTTCATTTTTATGAAAGCCGAAGTCAGTGGTGTGTGAAAAGATAAGAGTGGCCCGTGGTCATCCCAAGTGCTGTATAGTGTGCCTCGTAATTTGGAAGAAAGGATGTAGAAATAGAATAACCTCTCAGGATCTACAACTTTTATATAACAGCCACACGGCGTGCTGTGTTATGTGTTCCCCGCCGGAACTTTACTTTTATTGCTTTTCTCCCTCAGAAAAATCTTTATTACGTGATGAATACTTTCCACGATCTCTGCTCAAGCGATTTAAATAAAAATGAAGCGTCCGCAACGCCCACCTATTATTCCGACACTGCGGACCCTCCACTAAAATATTAATCGCCTGACGGACGGTAACTTTTAGACCGAACTGAGAATTCAATTACGGCTCTTTTCAGATAAAAATAAATTATTAAAAAATTTTGCTTCTAACTACGTGACTAGATTGGAAACTGACAGTCCCAAATTTTCTGGAATAAATATTATTAACATTTCAATTGTGCAAGAGTAATAGTTTCATCGCGACTCATAAACGTAATGCTCAGTGCTGTAATAGTGCGGTGTTTATTAGTGCTTTGCTCCTTACGTCGTCGACTATAATTACCTTTCTTGAGAGTGCAGACTCATAACTGGCCTGGGAAATACTCCGTCTGCCAGACATTGTACCCGCATGAGTCCTTCCTCAGCCTCCAGTCTCCTCAAAAGAAGCTCTTTTTCGGGCACTGAAACAAGGACCAACTTGTATAAATAATTTGAAAATTATGTCAAGTTTTTTATTTAGACATTAAGCATAAAAGTTTGTTTGTTAATAACTTGATGCAAAAGGTGATATGTGGTCACGAATATCATGACCAATTTGACACTAAACTTCTAATGATTTTAATTACAGTTATTTCAAATAATTAGGTAATATAGTGTGAGAAAAAGAGGTTTGAAAGTTTAGTCAATATTGAACACGATGAAAATGTGAAGAATTTCTGTAGCTGAAGCTATGTGAAGTAGTTTCTTTTTAATTTCGTTGCTCTCCACTGAACAATTTAAAGTAAAATAAAAATGAAGTAAAAGCATGTGATCGCCGTCATTGACTAGGTCGAGCAATACTTTTAAAAATTGATTGGATTGGCTCAATTCTCAGCAAAGGCGATTATAGCTGTATCGAGATTTGGAACGTTTGCGATTAACACAGCGTTGTGATTAGTGAAAATGTTCTTTAGCAAAAAGTCCAGGAGTGGTTCAATTATTTTAATTATCATCATTAGCGTGATTTTTATCAGAAATCCGATATAACTTAATAATCCGAACTGTAATGAAGTAGGTCACGAATAATCTGAGTGGATTTTGAGGGTTGAAAGTCTAGCAATGTTTGTTATCTCTTCCGCTCGAATAAATTACTGAAAGAGAAAGGTTTTGTTTTTTTACGCAAATCTCTTGTAGCGTTAAAAAAATATTTCAAGAAACATTGATTGTAGGACAGAGTTTTGACTCAAAAATATTAAAATAAATTACAACAGCCGGTCGCCATTAACTCATAAACGCTTTGTTCGAAAAGTTTGGACATAAAATTTTCAGTTATAAGTGGAAGTAATCGATAAATTTTAAATTTCATCGGCGCTCTTTAAAGGACGAGACGTTTTATTCGTTTGTTCATTACATTTCTAGCAAAGTTTCCAAACTTTACTCACAACATCTACGACAGTCTTGCCTGGTTATCACGTCTTATTAGACTGAAACAGACGAACCATCGACAATTCTACTTCATATTTCAGGAATAATATCCTACTGTGTTTTCAGAGTGGCAATGCCAGATGCTGATGAAGTTTCTATGCAGAAGAGACTAATGCGATCTACTTTGATAAAAAAACTTTTATTTTCTGGTGTGTCAATGAATAGAAAATTTGTGCAGCTGGAGTCGCTAGTTAAAAAGCAATTTTGAATTTCAACTTAAAAGCTCTTATAATAACCAAAGCATATTAATGACTGTGAGGTCAAAATTTTTGATTAAATTTATTAATGAGGTACACTAAATTGAACGCAGTTACCTTATTATTTCGTTGCTTCCATTAAACTTCAATTACTTCTGAATTAGTCAAAGCAAATTTTACTAAAATTGTTTGATGGTGGCAGACTAGTGCTCGTTTACATGTTGTAAATTATATATTGGCTTGCCTCTAGACCATACTCCTTTGGTTTGGTTAAATGCCATATTAGAAGTGGTAAATAGTTAATTTTCAAAGTGATAAAACCAGCAGAAATAACTAAATATAACGAGATAATTCGCATTGTCCAACAACATAACGGTGATAATTTAGTTATTTAGGAAATATAAAAGTAGATAAGGGTAATAACACTAAAACATGAGGGTAGTTAAATTGATCGTATTATCTCGTGCGTGTAAATAAAGTCCACATTTCTATAAATGCCACTGCAACTCGTGCACGCCATATTTCATTTTTCTGTTTATATTATATAAATATTTAGGAAATAAGTTTTCCTGGGGCCACACGTTTGCAAAGCATGCAAAGGTAACTGACAGTGACGCTTTACTAATTGGACGTGAAAAGTTTTTAAATAACAGAAAAAAATGGAAACTTTTGCTTTAGAATCGGAATTGGAATTGTAAAAAAATCCTAAAAGATGCTTTTTTGAAATACTTGTATTGTATTTTAAATAGTTAAAATTTTTATTACAAACAGGAAATAAATACATACCAACAAAAATTAAATTAAGTTTCTCGACTCTATTTTTACGAGTCTCACTCTTTGTAGAGCAAATCGATAAATTTTAATTGATTCGATGGGCGAAGCGCGAGTCTAGTTATTTCTTAATTATAAATGAGTTCTGATTAAAATCTATATGAATATTCCACTTGTCTGTCTGTAAGAGGAAAGGGTGTTTTTGAAGGTTGTTAAAGTAGTTAAAAATTCTGTTTGACGCTTGTGCTCTTGGACATTTTAAGAATTTATGTAGTTTTCTTTTTCCGGGTTTACCCTTTCTTGCTCTTGACACTATCAACAAAAATATCTCTTTGATATTTTTATTTTTGGTAAACTTTAATAGCATTTGAAATGATTTAATAACGAGAAGTTAAAATCAATGCTGGAAATTACAGGGTTAGCTTGATTATTTTCAGTCAACTATTAAGTTTATTATACGGCAGTTTAAAATGTAATTAATGGTTGTTCCTTGTTCATAAATAATTCAACATTTGAGTTTTTTGTCATGTAATAATATTCATTACGAGTGAAAAGATGTAGCAAATGTTTCCTTTCTATTCTCAAACTTTTATTTATCTTTCACTCTAATTAGATGCAGAGTTCGTTCGAGCACAAGTCAACAGTCCTTTCGTGACTAAAGCCGTTCGGTTTTATGATTCAGATACTCGAAAACTTCCAACTTTGTGAGCTGGACGGAGTTAAAATTGATATAGCACGAAGACCGTGTCGATATTCGCTCCGGTCAAATTTGTTTATTTTTCCCTGCTGTGTTGATGCTTTTTTCTGCTGATTCTCTTTTTCTCTTTCATATGGGCCGTCCGTTTAGATCAGGGCGGGTTAAAGAGCCGCCGTTAGTGGCGTTGCCGACTACATCCTGATGCTCTACGTCGATGGATTTACATCCTTTAGGCATTACTTATGCATGCATGCACTCAGTTGGACTCCGCGACTGGAGAATTAATGGCGTAACGCCAGCTTGCCCCATTTATGCGCACTAAATGTTGCACCTATTCAAATATATCACCGGAATATCTATGGCCGATTCTATGAACGTCCTAATGGCGGACTACACACACCATTGGCCATCTAATCGCTATTAAGTGCTCGGAAAAGCAGTCCAACCGGTCGAGCATCAATTGCACGTTGAAGACCTTTTCAAAATGAAACCGAATTTGTCATCTAAATTGAATATTAAGCCACAACATAAACTTGGACGACGATCCATTATAGGCTTGGAAAATTACTGCTTATGAAACATAACTTTTTCTCTAAACTTTCGATAAATTAGTACTACTTACTCTACCTAAAATAACAATAGAGTGGGCAGGTGAGGTCAAAAACAAAACTGTTGGTAATAAATGAGATATTTGAAGTTAAGAAAAAAATGTTTAATTTTGTTCAACTCAATTTATAGCAACGAAGTAGAACAAATGTCTCCCAAGTTTATTAAAAAATTCAAAATCGGCGTACAAAAACTCATTTAAATTTTTCGATTTTTTTCAACCACAATTCCAATTGTAACATTTATGAATACGAGAAGTAAATTTATCTTGTATTTGCATTTTTATTAAGTAAGACATTCTGCTACGGTTTCAGAGCAATTTAATAAAACCTTTTTAAATAAAGTTTAAAGCTGTAATTTCATATTCTATGTGTATTATAAATTACATTAAAATTTTATTTTATATTTTAGCGACAAGATTGCTGGGAAAAATTTGTCGGTTTCCCACAGGAGTAAAAATTTTTACCAGATAAAGTTTTTGATTTACTTATAGCTACCACCCGTCACAGAATATTTGAAAAGTTTTATAAAAAATGTTAAGCGTAAAGCGTGTAGTATACAGGATGCACCAAAACACGCGCCCCAGAGAAAAATGCCATGTAAGTCACGATACCAGGAACACGGAAAAAATGTTAAAAAAAAATTATCTATAAAAATTTCCAAGTTATGAGAGTTTAAATTTTGCATTTTGACACTATTTCTGTTGATATTATAAGAGGAAACAAGGAAGCTCTATCCTAAATTGTAATTCTGTTCAATGTTATTTGTGGCTTTTATTGGCAAAATTTTTGTACTTTTACTAAAGAATTGTAAAAAAACCATATAAAGACATAAAAAAACGTCAAATGTCAAAAAATAAACGTCAAAATTTTTTGACAGATAGAATTTTGAAACATTTTTTCCATGTTTCTGGTATCTTATCTTACTTGAAAATTTTCTCTGGGGCGCGAGTACTGGCGCACTCTGTATATACTGCCCTAAATAAATAAAAACAATCCACTATCTCTACAATTATTAATAAATATTATTATATATATATATATATATTATATTTCATTTTAATAAAAATAAACAATGTAAAATTACATTCATGCTTTTAATAAACATTTGGTTGTAGATATTTATCTAAAAATCATAAAAAAATACCAAGAACTATGCAAGTAAATGTACATATTAAAGTAGGTTTTAAATATTCTTAGCAAAATTTCAAATGAATATGATATACGAGTGAAAAAATGTAAAATAAAGCCAACTTTGATTTTTTACATACAATTACATATTTGAAAGGCTTTTTGAGTTGATTACTTAATCACATATTCAATTTTATTTAAGAAAAAGTCAATTACAGAAAAACAGTCAAAAAGCGTAATGAATTTAATGAACGAACAGGAAAAAGTCATCAAGCCCAATAATTAATCGATCCATGAATGTCGAGTCTTATTGGAAAATTGATTAGCAATGTGCCGTGACTTAAAAAGACAAATCAACCACAAAAATAGAAACGAAGTCGTAAAATGTTCTTATTGCTGGCAGAAGACAACAGATTAATACAAGATAAATACTTTTGTTATTATTACAATTTATTAAAAGTAAAACTGTAATAAATTTAAGAAATGTTAGATTTGTTGTTCTTAAATTAAATTTATTAAAAACACAGGGATAAATTATTTTCCGGGTCGCAATTACATGTAGACATCCTGCCTTTTCAGTCTTTGAATTATTGCGC